CCCCAAAACCCCAAAACCCCAAAACCCCAAAACCCCAGGACCAAACTCCACTATTGAATTTCCAAAATGACTATTCTTTCATTTTCTTGATGATTTCATCTTTCTTCTTCTGCACAAACTCAATTTTCCTTTTGTCAATTTCCTCTTTCATCTTTCTATCCTGCATCTCCTTCTGCATTTGTCTCTCTTCAGCCTCTTTCTTCCTCTTCTCTTGGACATTGGATTTGAGCTGGGTTCTGAACTTGGAATATCTTTCGACATCTGAGCCTCTGACCATCATGATTTGGGACTTTTTAGCAAGTTCGAACTGTTTTGTTCAGATGAATTCACTGCTGTTCTTCATCACCTTGTCGACAATGGATTTATAGCAATCTTTTTGGAGCCTGATCTCTTGGCCTAGAAGGAGAGGTTAGAGAGGAGATAGGGGTTTGGGATAGAGGTGATAGAGGGGAAATTTGTGATTATGAGGGAATGGGACTGGAGAAGAGGAGCTTACCTCATGGCATCATTAACCTCTTCATAGCCTCCATTAGGTAGAGATGGAGGTTGACATATCCGAAGGTGAGAATTCCTCAGACAATGTCGTTTCTGAGATAATAACAAATGAATTTGTCTGAGTTTAAGTCTCCTTCAATGATTGCATCGTCGAAGTGGTTCATCCTTTCTCCATAATAATACAACTCTTTGTCGCCAATTGTCATTCTTTGTAAAGGAAGATGCTCGAATTTAATAGTTTTATGAAGCATCAAGAGTGCTGCAATATAACCAGCTTGCACATTATATCCAGTGTTCGGAGTTCTTACAGTTCCATTACCAAGGAAAGATCTGTGTAGAGCATTTTGTCCTCATGCAAGCATACCTCTCTGGACAAACCCTATCATTATTGAAAAGTTCCTGTCGATTTTAAAGGCGCCATAGTCATCAACTGTAGGTCTCCACTTGGGTTTATCAAAGAAGATAGTGTTGTGGTATTTATGGTCAACTTCCTTCAGCTCACCCTCATTGATGCAGACATCAGGAGCAATGAAATACTCCTTCTGGAAACCTTTGTGTTTGAAATAGATAGCTTTCAGTTTGTGATCCCCCTCAGTATGAGTAACATCTATATTTCGAAGGACACTAATTTTATGCTTCTTGAATTCATTGATAATTCTGTTTCCGACTTCAGGCCCAACAGTTCTGATGAATTCATTAGTATCTCTTTCGAAGAGGGTGATTTTGACGTCTTCAAGCTTGATCATATTCAAATAATTTCTGATAGAAATTGCTTGTTGGTAGGCTTCAAAAGTTCCACCGAATACTCACACATTCTTGGCCTTGATGACTTCGTTATGAACTGTAGCATGAGTCTCATAGTCACTAATGGTGTAGACATTTGAAAATTTTGAAGGAACGTCTTTTGTAGCAGAGCCAGCAAAGAGAATCCCATCAAATTCAACCTTTTCGTCATTTGAGAAATGAACTGTCATGTTATCATGGTCTATTTTGAGAATTGAAGCACTGATTACATCAACCTTTGCTTTTTGGAATAAGTCAGGTTCTACCAGAAAGACTTCAGCTTTGTTAAGAGGACCAAATTTCCGAGGGAAAATCTCCTTGTTTTCAAATGCTCCAGAGGAACTGGTCGGGAGTACAATGATTCTCCCTGTAAACGAGTATCTAAGGGTGATTACTGCAGATAAAGCAGCTTCTGAATCACCGATAATTATGTAAACTCTTGGGTCAATATCTTCTCTTTCCAAAGTTTCTCTCATTGAAAAAGCAGGAATGTGATCTGGAACAATAAGATTGACGTCTTTTTGTCTCACTTGAATTGGGAAACTCGTGATATTTCTAAGCGTTGGGCCTATATCAGCCAGTCCATTCTCAATATTATAAGCAGAGGAGCATGTCGGGCAAATTATTTTGTTTCCAATAAAGATGCCATCATTAAGATCGGTAAAATCATAGCCACAGTAGCTACCTGTGCAGTAATATTTTCCATCTCTGTTAAATATCAGAACTTTATTCATAGGTTGGTACGAATCCGGGTCATCTGGGTCACAGATACTAATCTGTACCTTCATATTATTCTTGAGCATGCCTTTTTCAAGCACAGTGATGTTTCTGTACATAAGGCCTCCTTTCTTGACTAGTTCGTTTTCTTTCTCTCCCACACCTTTCATGGATTCGATTTGTTTGTCACTCATGGAGCCAAGGCGTCTGATTTCTTCTTCAGAGGCTTCTTCTAGTTCCTTATTTCATTGTTAGTTTTTCTTCTTGGATCATATTGTGCAGGTCGAAGGTGCTACTCACATAAAAATTGGGGGTACTCTTGCCTAAGGATTCGTAGATTTGTTCGGTCCGGGGGATGCTAGGGTGAGGAGTTTTGGAGGAATTTTCTGAAGGATTTTGGTTGTTTTGGGATGGGTCTTGGCATTCAGGAGCTGGACTGAAGGATTTTGTAAGGAAGGGAGCTAGTCCTAGAGGTTTTGGAGGGGATTTACATACCTAGTGTTAGTAGCAATAGTTTAAGCTTGAAATTTGATGCAGGTTCTTTGGAGTGAGAGGAGGTTTGTGATGAGCTGGTTAAAATTTTGTTGCTATTTATTGAACTGAGGGATCTGTGGAGGAATATTTTATGTATGTTTGGATTGTCTGTAAGAGGTCAGAGAGGCAGCAATTATTTTATAATTTACTTTTATACAAAGGATGAATACTCCGCTTGCTAAGTCTTCTAAAAATTGAATTCATTTGTGATTAAAAATTAATATATAACACCTCATTTCAACTTAAACTCCCCCTACAGGGGTTTTGGGGTTTTGGGGTTTTGGGGTTTTGGGG